AAAATTATTTTATCTGTTATTAAATATTAATAATATTAATATATTATGAGTATTAGTATTAATTAATATTAATAACATTAAATATTAAAGAAATCTTCGTGTTACGTGCATTCTGCGTAAATTTCCTACGAGTTCATGAAAATCATAATATAATTTAATACAATGTAATGTAATTATTGATGTAATTTATTGTTTAAATACTTTCGTGAGCTTTACATAATAGAATATAAAAATGTAAAATTGTAATTATAATTACAATAATTATAATTTCTGTATATATATTTCTCAGATTCGTTTCAACATGATCACGGTAACCATGTTCCATTACAGTGTCAGTAAAATATCGAAACATTGTCATTATTACATGATTTAACAAATATTCCCGTAAATTTTCGAATATTTTCGCAAGCAATAGTGAAAAAAATTTTAGATGATGTAAAAGAGCGAAATTTCACAATGTTCAATGATACTAATCAAAAATACAAAAATTAGACGCAATCTTATCGCGCGAAATTAATCGAGAATTAAATTGCGTCAAACAGTTTGCGCGATCGGCTTCTTAGTCGCCATGGTCGCGATTCCCCGGAAATTCGCGAGCGACTTTTTCTCCACCGCGCTTCTGCCCGCTCTTTCCTCGTTGCTGCTCCCCGCTTCGCCGGTCGTTTCTACTCCCGTCACGTATGTAGCGAGAAAAATTGCAGCCGAGCGCTTTACTCGGTTCGCGTTCTTCACGCTCGACTCCCTCGTCGCCTCCCTCGCTCTCGTTCTTTCTCTTTCTCTTTCTCTTTCCTGTTCCCGAATACGTTTCGGAGGGAAACTCCGCCGTTAGTTCCACGCTCGATAAGAGGGCTTAACAAATGAGTGCTCGTTCGTGGAGTATCGAGCCATCCCGCGTGGCATATTTTCCTCCTTCGATCGAAGAACTCGCTCTCCCTGATCCTCGCCGACATTCAAATCTTCTCATTCACCGACGAAGAGATCAATTCTCGACGTTTACAAATTTTTCGACATTTTATTATATTCAGTGAAATGCCGCAGTAGTAAATAATGAAACAAGTACTTGTAGTGATTACATGTGAAAACGAGAAATTTCTGTTGATTTATAGCATAGTAGATTCTAATTATTACAGAGACACGTGTAACAAGCTATTTTCATTACGAATACCTAAAGTCAGTTTTGTAACACGTACTGTGTTTTAGCTATATTTTGCAAAATCCTGTCGTGGAAAGTTAATAATACTTAGCTGAAAACCGAATAATCACAAATTTCCTTTATTTTTTAACATCCCTTTCTAACAGCATGGTTTTTTTAATTATTGGAACACGAACTCTCTAACGTCGTACGAACGAAAAATCACTGCCAATGAATCCTGTAGATTCTCAATCGTGTCCCTATCCTCCATTGACGATGTTCATATTCAGTTTGAGAATCAAAGGGGTGCAAACTCGTTTTCGAATAGCTGGCATATTTCGCTGTCAGTGTTAATTACTAGAAATTGCCCCTCCATCGATTCGGTTCGAGCAATCCTTCGAGTCGCCATCGTGTCTTTCCTCTCGCGAACATTCGAATTTCGGGCAACGCGTGATCCCGGATCCCTCAGGAAATCGAGCGTAACCGGTTACGTCGATCCGATGGCTTCCACGCAGCACCCTTCTCTCCCTTTTGATACTCCCGCTGGACTACTTGTCCGCGAATCTCCACTGTTATTAGACACTCTCCTCGACGCTGCCGAAAACCTCGAAAGTTCAATCGCGCTCGATGACCCGCGGCATCGCGGTTTCAGCGCTTTCGAATTTCTCGCGGTAGACGGAACGAATTTGACCGGCGGTGCAGATCTTCTTGTTGTGTACGGATGTTTAGGCCTAGGACTTTTTACTGTCACAGAAATTTCAATGTAATAATATCTATATACAATATTGTATATATTGTATTGATTATCTCTATGATAAATCTGTATGTAGGTATATGTACCTTATTAAATTTGTACACATGTATAGAATTCACAGATATTAATATTATATATTTATTATTATTTTAATATCTTATATATGTATTATTCTAAATATTTGTATATTTATTATATCATTAGATATTATATTATATAATATATTATATATTATACAGTATTAGGTATTATATTATATAGTATATGGTATTAGGTATTGCATTATATAGTATATTATATGTATTATTCTAAATATTTGTATATTTATTATATCATTAGATATTATATAGTATATTATATATTATATAGTATTATATCATTAGATATTATATTATATTATATATACGCATATAGTACACAATAATGTTCCATCAGTTGAGAGTAAAAATTCTTGCGAGAAGTTAGTGAAAAAATAAAATTCTGCCAAGTTGTACGATCCAAACCGTAGGTGGTTTTCAACGACAAAAATGGCCCCTCTGCGTCGAGCTCGATACGCTCCCATTAGTAGCGGCGCCATGTCACGGAAACGCTATTATTTCCACGGTAATACAATTACGCGGCAATGCAGTTCGACCAACATGCACGAGCCGAGGCCGCGTCGTCGATCTTTCGTCTTTGCTCCATGCGCTGCTCTTAATTAACTTCTACTTGCCGAGACACTTGACCCGCTGGCATGCTACTTCGAATGCAACGCGACAGTGTCGCCTGGCAAGGCTGCGACTCTGCTCCCCGGAGTCACCCACGCTCATCAAAATATTTTCGCGATTGTAGATCAAAGTCGAATTCAACGAATATATTGGAGACCGATGGCACAATCAGTAGTATAAACAGTATAAATCTGACTGGGGAAACAGCGAAAATTGAAATGTTTATATTAAATTTGTACAGCAAAGATGATACGTAAGAAACTTTCTTCTGTAACCGGGTTCACCACCGTTTCAAAAGTCAAAATCTAAAACCCTAAACTCACTGTACTATTTATTTTCTTTTTATCGAAGATTGTGAAAATTCTAACGTACGTACGTTAAACAATTTTTTTTCCGTTAAATCGACCACCGTTTCGAAGATCGATGTCCCTTTACAGCAAATCCTTGAAACTCACTGTACGATTTTCTTTTTCCCTTTTCATCGTTATTGTAGAATTATCTGAACATCGGCGTTAGAAATGACGAAATAGAATTAGGATTTCTCGAGTTTCTTGTCGATTCGAAGTTTCTTCGTAAAAATTTCCAAAATCCACGACCCGCTGTTTCTTTCCACAAGTCGATCTGTTCGTCGTGATGTGCCTGATTCTAATTTGATATCCATCGTGGTGCAAATCCGTGTCACTGGAAAAGAAAGTAATCAACTTTGTTCGACCTAACTATCGACGTTCTCTCTCTCTCTCTCTCTTTCTCTCTCTCGCAGAAGAAGCAACAGAAAACAAAGACCGACGGACACGATATGATAGTGGAGCTCTTGGTAATTACAGGCCCCGTTAATCGACGGTGATAGAAGCTTATGGCGGATTTGTATGAATTTACGACGGGCACCGATGCTCGCGGCGCGGTCGGTGCTCGTCGTGGGGGGTGGCGACGAGTAGGAGGACGAGAGAGGATGAAGTTCAGCAGAGGCGCGCGTCGTCACGGATTACCCAGGATGCGCGTGTCTTCCCTTCGCCGGCTCTTCAGTCCATCCCGATGGAAATCGCCCAGAGAAACAAAGAAAGGAAGAGAAAAAACACGCGCCATCGGTTACGCAAATGGTTTCATGCGATCGGAATCGGTCTGCTGCTTGCGCCATGTACCTGGTAATGAGATCCCGTGGATTTGTCCCGAGAGATAGGCATTCTTCGTTTCCTTCCGCGCCATTAACACGTTCCACGCGTTTCGGAAACGGCCGAAACCGTCTTCGATGGTCGACGATATTTCTCTGCTCGTCGATCGAATTAAGAACGATCCAAGCGAGACACGAGCGTGTTGCCAAAGTGATTTTTGTTTGCAGGTTAGACGAGATCATTTAAGTGATTTAAATTAAATTAGAGGTTAGATTCAGTTGTTCAATTACGTCATATTCGATTTTATTGATTATTTAAAACTGTAATGTTACAGGTATGTTATGTGACCATTTGAAGTGTAATGTTACAGCTATGTTACGTGATTATTTAAAGTGTAATTTTATAGTGGATTAATGCTTAATTTATTGGCTTCATATATCATGTGACGTAATTTCTTTACAAATTAAAAATTTTAACGTACGATATTCTATTCAAAAGGTTGATTATCTGATTCTTTTTTTTCTTGTAAATCTGATGTATTTGATGTATTTGCTCAATATATTGTCAATATCTATTATCTCATAAGTAATTATTTTATTACTCATGATAGGATTATACATGCAGTCATAGAGTTGATTATCTTGAGAACGAAAGTTTAGAAATTTTCTTTTTTGTAGATAATTATTTTCACGCATTAATTTACGAATATTTTAATGCATGGAATCACGCGAGGTATACGTAATACGCAGAATAATTTTCTGTCTAGGTTTTATTCTCAAAAATATGAATTTACACGACAGTTCGCGGATTAGTAGTTATGTATTAAACGAAAAATTCCGAATTTTTTTTGGAGAGATTTTTCAGGATTTACAAGCGCGATTTTCAGCTTTAAATTTCAAAACGTGTTATTTAATTTATTATCTGAAATAATAATTAATGTGGCACAGAGCTTTAATTATTGCAGAAATGACAACACAGTTTGTAGCAAAAATCAATTTAAAATGTTTATAAATAATTGAAATGCCGAGAGAATTGTACATCATATACTTTAGATGATACATTTCTACCAGTCATTTCCGTAAATCAACCGAAATTTTTTGCGTCGTGAAAATAGGAAAACATTGTAGCGTAAAATTGAACTTTAAAGATTTTCACGAATTTTATCTGTCTTGGGTGACCTACCCCCTGAATTCACATATTTGAACGTGAATTCTTACTACGTGTCACGCAATTCCCATTTCTATTATATTATACAATAAATGGTACAAAATCAATAGACTCTTATCACACGAACTTACCTATTATACATTATAATCTTACGTAAACTATTTACTCTCCACGAAGTTGGTGTTAACTGTCACAGCTACGAACTCGCGCTCACTTGGTTAAATATCCAAATGCTCGTCCCCTGTAAACTTCGCGCTCTGGAAACCTAGAAAGAAATTGAAGCACACCATTATTACTGAATTACTAATTTCGTTCTTGCATAGCCCTCTGTTTCTTATTTCCTCTCATTCACACGTGCGTGCAACAGAGGTAAATAAATAGTCTTACACAAGTATTCCTGTTACACAACAGTGGCGACAAACATCAAAAAGTCGAACAACCATTCACCCGTTTTGGAAAATGATTCGCGTGCGACGCGGGCGAAAGTTTTCGGCGAAACGGTGGAAAGAGAGAGAGAGAGAGAACTAGAAGCGTTCCAATTTCGCGAGAGGGAGTTGGGGTCCTCACGCTTTCGTCTCACGTGGCTCTCGTCCTCGTGGTTGGTTTCCAACGGCGGCGTTGGAAACGGCGCGTGCTCGGGATGCGCACCTTCGCGTCCTGATTAGCAATCCAGACCGGCGAGGCGAAGGCCAATGGCACCCTGGCTGGCTTTTGCCTGCCTGCCTGCCTGCCTGCCTGCCTGCCTGGCTTGCTTGGCTGGCTTCCTGCTTCCCTGCCCTGGTCCCTCTTCCACGCTGACGGCGTAAGGGGGTTGGTAGCACGAGCTGAACTCTCCGGGCTGAGCGCGAAACGCCTAGTCCCGGAGAACAGAGAGAAAGAGGAAAGGAAGAGCGAAACGAGGCGAGAGTGAGAGTGTTCGAACGAATAAGAGAGACAGTGTGAAAGAGAAAGAGAGAGAGAGAGAGAGAGAGAGAGAGAGAGAGGGGTTGGTTGGATGGTAGTACGGTGGAGGAGGCGCCGTCGGTGGTGGTACGCGCGGTGCACGACATAAATATGTATGTATCATCCGCTGCGACCTGCCCCACTACCCGACTAGGTCAGACTCATGCTTCATCACAATGAGCACCTTGCCTTGCCTCGTCCTGTTCCTTTCCTCTTCACTCTATTCAAGTGGATGGTACGAAGCTACCCCCCGGATCGTGAATCCGGCGTCAGCTGATCGATCTCAGCGTTCGAGCGGCCAAGCTGTGAACGCTGGACGAAAGAATTATCATTGGCGAGAGCCGTTTGTTCCGTCGGGATGTCGGATGTCTGGACCTGGGACTCTGAAAGTAGTAGAGACAGTGGTAGAACGATTTCGTGGAGTTGCGTAAACCTTAAGAATGGTTTTGGAATTGGCGGACTGTAAATATACCAGAAGTTAATATTCAGAAGCCTTCTCTTATCCATTGCTTTGTGTCATTTCATTTTCAACGTTCCTTGTGCTTTTAGTACAATCAATGAGTTCGAATGAAATTTGACAAATGTTTCACATGCTTTGAGTGATCGAAGAATGCCTGCTTGGCAAGTGGTGGACAGATATTGTTCCATTGTACAGAAGCAGTGTCATTGACTCGCCAATTATCGTTTCAGCTTGGCCCTCCTCCAATCGATCGACCCCTGGTCCTTCATCCCTAATCGAAACAATTCCACTATCGAGTTTTGTTTTCATTTTCAAACTGTTCAAAGAACGAGGAAATATCTCAAGTTGCTCTCGTGCTCCAAGAGATCACACGCGAGAGGCAACGGCCGAACCCGAAGGAACCACAAGGCTCGGAAAACAGGGTGGCATGCTGCTTCCGGCGGTGACGGTCCGTTTTCAGCTGGGTTCGATCACTGACGTTGCACGCAGCCGGTGACGTGGTCCCTCTGACGTCACCCGCGCTCCTCTCTCACGGTGGTTGCGCAAGGTCTGGAGAGGAGGAGGAGGAGGGACGCGAGGAGGAGAGGGTGGGTATGGTAGAACGCGAGGATGCGAAACAGGAAGAGGTGGAGGAGAGAGAGGGAGAGAGAGAGAGAGAGAGGGTACAGGAAAGGGGGCTAACGGCCCGAAGGGGGGTAGCTCTTACATATTTATGCCGCGTTCTACGCGCGCAACACCCGTCCTGGGGGCGGCTGGAACCACCAACCCCCTCTTTGCGTTTCCTCGTGCCGGTGGTGGTTAGAGGTATGCCGACCTTGTGCACGCTTTCTCTCCGCGCGTTGCCTGCCAGCCAGCCAGCCAGCCAGCCTGCCTGCCGATGCTAATCAGCTTGCTTGATAGTGCGTTGTTACTCCGGGACTGCACTACACACCTTTCGCTCTCTCTTAGCGTATTTGCGATTCTACGTAATTCTTGGGATAATTCGGTAGTCGGCTGGTAACCTCAACGACGCGCTGTTGCTGCTTTGCCAAGGAGAGCATTAACACACCCTCTCTCTTTCTCTCTCTCTCGCTATCCGTTGGATTTTCAGCCCTGGTGTCGCTCAGCCTTCGCGCCCAAGTCGAACATCCGCTTTAAAACGCACGTTGGGTTGCTTCTTCTTCTTTCTTTTCTTTTCTTTTCTTTTCTTCGTCGACCCACGTTCGACGTTACTGGAACGCGGTGTAAGACTGATCGAAGTCTTTGGCGACTTGAAAGTTGTCGGTATCGTTGGTGATATCTGCAGAGGAGATTGTTACAGTTGTGAAGGTTCTTGTGAAAGAAAAGAAAAAGAGAACGAGAGAGAGAGAAAGGACGGTGCGTGTGGGAGAAATATTTTTTGATCCTACTCAGTCATTTTTGTTATTTCACTGCAAGTGGGTAGTGTATATCTTCAGGTCGGAAGAGATGTCTTTTAAAATATTTTGATTCTTTTCAATTTTCAGTGCTCAGTTTGCATTAATACAATAATAAACGATTAGTTTATTTGTTAAAAGGTTCAAAGAGGATAATGTATTGTTATAATAGATTCAATTGTTAGATACTCCTTCTAATTTCAAAGTACATAATCCTCGTATAATCAGAATATACATATAATTCATAGAATCCTCGAAATCCTAGCACAGATAACTACGACAGTCCCAAACAATAAAAATCCAAGGTATCCATTTTGCACTCTACACATCCCCTAGAAAAAGATGACCAATAAAATCGAGGCAACTGAAGAATTGTCGACGTGCAATAATTAATAGATTCCGGAGACTATGCGCTATAAGATCCTCTCGATCCTCTGAAACAGCAAGAGGAGGCCCAGAGACGACGTCCGGAGCCTGAGGACAGGCGCGCGCGTTGTCGCTCGCACGAGGGGGGGTTATTAATCAGAGTGGCAGAGTTTGCTTGGAATAGCTCGGAAGGCTTCGCGAGAAACTGTCATCCTATTAATCGTGGCGGCTAATGACGGCCGGGGCGAGGAGGAGAGGCCAGGTTTCAGCTACCGGAGCGACAGAATCGGTGGAGCAGCAGCAGCGAATCGGCCGATCGCTCGCGCCCGCGTCGTCAACGCGCTGCCTGCCACCACCGTGGACAGTCACGCGATCCAGATCGCGTTTCAGCCGGCCGACGTGCAATTATAACGAGAATGCGCCGAGAGCACGCACTTTCAGGCCTCTCTCAGGGAAGAGAGACTGTGCGCGCGTGTCCCGTGCCCCTGGAGGAGGAGGAGGAGGAGGAGGACGACGATTTTATTTCTCCGGCAGCGGCGGGGCCTGATCGCCTCGCGGAGAAATCGATCCTCGCCTACGGGCTCTGTTGCACGACATCGGGGAGAACCCGGCAGATTCCAGTGCGCCTCTGACGTTTCACGTTGCCCGAGGATGCGCCTCTTGAATCACCGTTGCAATCCTGTTACGATAATGACGACAGCGCTTCTTCACCGCTTCGCGCGCGCGTCTGCGTGTGCGTGTGTGTATGTGTGTGTGTGTGTGTGCGCGCGCGCGCGCGTCGAATTGCCAGCGCGTCGCGCCGATGGATTAAATGCAAATTAAAATGTTCCCGAAGCGAAGCAAGGAAGAGTAGATTCGAAGACAAAATTGCGGCTTAGTCTTGCTCTGGCTCCGAGTTGTTCGTCTCTTGATCAGGGAGGGGGATCAAGTTTATGGTTTTCTTCTTTCTTCTTTCGCGTCCGCGAGTCTGGCGGCGTCGAGATCGAAGAGATCACTCGGTTCGGGATCGATTGAGATACCTGTGACACCTGTGGGAATGATGAAACGAAACTTGAATGACGAATCGTAATGCTTCAAATGTTTGTCAATGTGCGAGACGATCGAAGTAGTGTATCACCATAATTTCTTTCCGATCTTGGAGCGTGTATGATTTGAATAATTAAAAATTTCTTTCGAGCGCAAGAAAGATGTTCATTTTTAATAACAGATGTTAACATAACACGTTATTTACAGAGAGAGAAACTAGTGACACGCGCTAACTTTTATTAATTGTAAGAAATTCTTAGCGGCCCAAATCGTCAAATGTCACACATTTATACATACTTTTATTACTCGCATTTGCAATACTCACATTTCTACAAACTCGTACGAAGTCGCGTCTGCGTCCTTTGTACGAGAAGAACTTAACTCGACCAAGGATCGATCAGACGAGGGTGATCGATCGAAAATAGACGATTTACAAACAAACTCGTAGACGCCCACGCCTGCTACACGAGCGCACTTGTGCGCAGAAGTGCACGCGATCGTTCGGGACGGTCATTTCCCCAAGAAGTAATCGGTGATCGTAGGCAGATCCTCCACTCTGCATCGTCTTCGGCTATGTTCCTCCAATTCGACGCCAACACCAGCATTAAAGGCAGTACGCCATATTTGGTATATCGGTACGTTTGACGTATCGAGCAGCGTAATACGGATCGAAAAGTTTGAAGAACTTCACTTCGTTCGAAAGAGTACCTTTTCTTTTTTACAAGTCCTTTCGTGTAATTTGTTTGTCTTAATATTAGAGCACACTGTCATAATTATGAATACATAAGTATACATTATAATTGTAATTCACTATATAAATTGTAATTATAATTTACTGTATAAATTATAATCCATTTTAATTATTTTAAAATAGTTGTAATACTAATAAGGATGGTTAGCTCGATCTGTTGAGTAATTTCAATTCAGTTTGTTAAAGAAAGTGCTTCTTTTTATCTTCACAAGTTCCTTTGTATGATTTAACGCACAACTATTATAATTCCAAATTACATACATATAAATGTAAATTATAATTTTTTTTTTTTTTTAATATCAGGGTACATGACCATAAAATATAAATTACAATTCATTTTAATGTCACGCACGCACTAATGCGGATAGTTGTCCTATTTCGTTGTCATGAATTCTTCTGTACAATTTATTTTAACCAAAGCACACAGCCATTATAATTAAAAATACGAACGTGTAAATATAAATTATAATTCGTACGATAAATTATAATTACAAATGTAAAAATATAAAAAAGTATTAGGCTCGTTTATTCTTTTATCGTCACAAGTCGAATAATTTAATACTAATTCTGAACAATTTAATACTAATGCGAACCTAGTTAACACAGACAATTAGCTAACAAAGCTAGTAAAGCTTTAATTTAATTCTACCAAAACGGCCAAAATTTGGACCATTTGAATATTTTTCGTACACATTTCATAAGTACGAAACAGTATATTTTTGAAGACTTGAACGATTGTTCGTAAATAAAAGCTTGTGGTGGTACCCTATTT